CTGTATTTATCGCATTATATCTTGTAATGTTATTTTCTGTAGTGTTACATACCATCTAATTATGTGAAATATTTTGTTTTTATATTTTTCTCATTTTGTCTTGTTATGTTACATTTTGTAGTCCCACATTTCATCCAATTATATCAAATATTCTATTTTTTATACATTTTTTATATATCTATATTTATTTATTATTTATATATACATTTTTTATATATCTTGTAATGTTAAATTTTGTAGTGTTACATCCCCTCTATTTATGTCAAATATTGTACTATCATATTTTGTAGTGTCACAGCTTGTATTCCCATGCCAAAAGTAGTGTAACATATTGTAGTGTTACATCTAGTAATGTCACTTCTTATGTATCCATTCTAAAAGTAGTGAAACATATTGTAGTGTCACATCTTACAATGTCACATCTTGTATTTCCATGCAAAAAATAGTGTAACATATTTTATTGTCACATCTAGTAATGTCACATCTTGTATTTCCATGCCAAAAATAGTGTGACATATTGTTGTGTCACATCTAGAAATGTCACATCTTGTATATCCATTCCAAAAGTAGTATAACATATTGTAGCGTCACATCTAGAAATGTCACATCTTGTATTTCCATCCCAAATGTAGTGTAACATATTGTAGGGTCACATCGAGAAATGTCACATCTTGTATTTCCATGCCAAATGTAGTGTAACATATTTTATTGTCACATCTAGTAATGTCACATCTTGTATTTCCATGCCAAAAATAGTGTAACATATTGTAGGGTCACATCGAGAAATGTCACATCTTGTATTTCCATGCCAAAAGTAGTGCAACATATTTTATTGTCACATCTAGTAATGTCACATCTTGTATTTCCATGCCAAAAATAGTGTAACATATTGTTGTGTCACATCTAGAAATGTCACATCTTGTATATCCATTCCAAAAGTAGTATAACATATTGTAGCGTCACATCTAGAAATGTCACATCTTGTATTTCCATTCCAAATGTAGTGTAACATATTGTAGGGTCACATCGAGAAATGTCACATCTTGTATTTCCATGCCAAATGTAGAATAACATATTGTAGCATCACATCTAGAAATGTCACATCTTGTATTTCGATCCCAAATGAAGTGTAACATATTGTAGCATCACATCTAGAAATGTCACATCTTGTATTTTCATGCCAAATGTAGTGTAACATATTGTAGCGTCATATCTAGTTATGTCACTTCTTGTTTATCCATTCCAAAAGTAGTATAGCATATTGTAGTGTCACATCTAGAAATATCACACCTTGTATTTCCATCCCAAATGTAGTGTAACATATTGTAGTGTCACATCGAGAAATGTCACATCTTGTATTTTTATCCCAAATGTAGTGTAGCATATTGTAGCGTCACATCGAAAAATGTCACATTTTGTATTTCCATGCCAAATGTAGTGTAACATATTGTAGCGTCACATCTAGAAATGTCACATCTTGTATTTCCATCCCAAATGTAGTGTAACATATTGTAGGGTCACATCGAGAAATGTCACATCTTGTATTTCCATGCCAAAAGTAGTGCAACATATTTTATTGTCACATCTAGTAATGTCACATCTTGTATTTCCATGCCAAAAATAGTGTAACATATTGTTGTGTCGCATCTAGAAATGTCACATCTTGTATATCCATTCCAAAAGTAGTATAACATATTGTAGCGTCACATCTAGAAATGTCACATCTTGTATTTCCATTCCAAATGTAGTGTAACATATTGTAGGGTCACATCGAGAAATGTCACATCTTGTATTTCCATGCCAAATGTAGAATAACATATTGTAGCATCACATCTAGAAATGTCACATCTTGTATTTCGATCCCAAATGAAGTGTAACATAATATTGTAGCATCACATCTAGAAATGTCACATCTTGTATTTTCATGCCAAATGTAGTGTAACATATTGTAGCGTCATATCTAGTTATGTCACTTCTTGTTTATCCATTCCAAAAGTAGTATAGCATATTGTAGTGTCACATCTAGAAATATCACACCTTGTATTTCCATCCCAAATGTAGTGTAACATATTGTAGTGTCACATCGAGAAATGTCACATCTTGTATTTTTATCCCAAATGTAGTGTAGCATATTGTAGCGTCACATCGAAAAATGTCACATTTTGTATTTCCATGCCAAATGTAGTGTAACATATTGTAGTGTCACATCGAAAAATGTCACATTTTGTATTTCCATGCCAAATGTAGTGTAACATATTGTAGCGTCACATCGAAAAATGTCACATTTTGTATTTCCATGCCAAATGTAGTGTAACATATTGTAGCGTCACATCTAGAAATGTCACATCTTGTATTTCCATCCCAAATGTAGTGTAACATATTGTAGGGTCACATCGAGAAATGTCACATCTTGTATTTCCATGCCAAATCTAGTGTAACATATTGTAGTGTCACATCTAGAAATTTCACATCTTGTATTTCCATTCCAAATGTAGTGTAACATATTGTAGGGTCACATCGAGAAATGTCACATCTTGTATTTCCATGCCAAATGTAGTGTAACATATTTTATTGTCACATCTAGTAATGTCACATCTTGTATTTCCATGCCAAAAATAGTGTAACATATTGTAGGGTCACATCGAGAAATGTCACATCTTGTATTTCCATGCCAAAAGTAGTGCAACATATTTTATTGTCACATCTAGTAATGTCACATCTTGTATTTCCATGCCAAAAATAGTGTAACATATTGTTGTGTCACATCTAGAAATGTCACATCTTGTATATCCATTCCAAAAGTAGTATAACATATTGTAGCGTCACATCTAGAAATGTCACATCTTGTATTTCCATTCCAAATGTAGTGTAACATATTGTAGGGTCACATCAAGAAATGTCACATCTTGTATTTCCATGCCAAATGTAGAATAACATATTGTAGCATCACATCTAGAAATGTCACATCTTGTATTTCGATCCCAAATGAAGTGTAACATATTGTAGCATCACATCTAGAAATGTCACATCTTGTATTTCGATCCCAAATGAAGTGTAACATATTGTAGCATCACATCTAGAAATGTCACATCTTGTATTTTCATGCCAAATGTAGTGTAACATATTGTAGCGTCATATCTAGTTATGTCACTTCTTGTTTATCCATTCCAAAAGTAGTATAGCATATTGTAGTGTCACATCTAGAAATATCACACCTTGTATTTCCATCCCAAATGTAGTGTAACATATTGTAGTGTCACATCGAAAAATGTCACATCTTGTATTTTTATCCCAAATGTAGTGTAGCATATTGTAGCGTCACATCGAAAAATGTCACATTTTGTATTTCCATGCCAAATGTAGTGTAACATATTGTAGCGTCACATCTAGAAATGTCACATCTTGTATTTCCATCCCAAATGTAGTGTAACATATTGTAGGGTCACATCGAGAAATGTCACATCTTGTATTTCCATGCCAAATGTAGTGTAACATATTGTAGTGTCACATCTAGAAATTTCACATCTTGTATTTCCATCCCAAATGTAGTATAACATATTGTAGCGTCACATCTAGGAATGTCACTTCTTGTACATGTATATTCATTCCAGAAGTAGTTTTATGTTATTAAAGGGGCAATAAGGACTGTAGAGAAAATAGGAAAGTTTTTTCATTTTTTCTGAGCTGTCAAGGTAACATTTGGTTTAACATCTTCTTTGACATACCTATTTTCTTAAAATATATGGATAAATTATCAATTTCAGCATTAAGAAGTGTAAATTCAGTTCAAAGCTTCAAAAAGGGGACTTCCACTTTTCTATTTTTAAGATCCACCATGTTTCAAGAGGAATATCAGCTAAAATAATGTTTATCTAGGGAGTTTCTTTGTAGATAATAAAAATAGTTGTTAGTCTTGATGAAATATCCAAACTTGAATATATTTTGACACTGGTCCATGATCGTTGAATGACCCCTCTGCACTAATTATTGCACCTTTAAGTAGTTTCACATCTTATGGTACATTTTTACATGCTTTGTGATGACACAATTTCCGGTGTCATAAGAGATATAATAAAAATGTTATTATTTCAGTTTGCACAGTTTATTATCCATTATGGACAGAAACGGGGTTCAGGAATAGTAAAATGTGTCAGGCCTTGTTTTATTTTGTAACTACTATGCTGCGCTTTGGTATGAAATCTATTGAAAAAGGCACAATGTTGTAAGTGCAAAAGTCAGACTTTTTGCCATAAATCAAGCAGTTGGGGTCTACATGACCTGTAACTGAAAATTTTAGTTTCTTAGCCTCTCATAAAACATAATTTTCCCGCTCTAATGTATTTTTGTGATAAAATTGATGAAACATTCACATGTAAATTGATATGTACATTTCTATATGTTATATGGTATAAAAACCATATAACATTTGGACACATTCATAAAGGAAGGACTGATAGCATTTCTTTGGTGACATTAGTTTATACAGTTCAGTACAGACACACATACAACCAGAGGGGGGCTAATAGTAAGACATTTCTCACTATACAGATAAGTAAATTGTTTGTTGACTCCAGCATCTTTGTTCAGTCACACTTTTGACAATTTACTTTACTTATATAACATATAGAAATGTACATATCAATTGACATGTGAATGTTTCATCAATGTTATCACAAAAATACACGAGAGAGGGAACGAATACAATAGGGGATTCTAATTTAAGCCAAAAATCCCTTTTAAAGTCACATTGACAAAATGTTCTCAAACAAATGAGACACATAAGTATGCACATCTTGTGAATATTCCATTCAACATCTTCAAATCTCCATTTAGCAGCAGGCATTACCATATAAAGGTTATAGTAGCCTAAGAAGGTAGTCCCCAAAGTAACTTGTTCATTTTGTGCAAAATTAGCAAATCATATTTAAAGTGATCCTAAAATAACATAGTTCTTTGGTTTATTCGATTACTGCTGCAATCTATGATATGCCCTCATGAATTTTTTATTGTACTCAAAGGAGCAAAATATGATAGTAATATTAGACGAGGATGGATGTATTTTATTAAAAACATAAAACACAGAAATGCAATCCAACATCACACATATTTTTATATGATTCACTTCATTTATTGCTTAATGCAAAGCTGCATTTAATCTTGTGAAACAAAATATAATAACAAAATAAATTCATATATATCAAATAATAGGACAAGATGACGACACAAGTGGAAATGCACAATCGATTCCAGTTTTGATGCATTAGTTTTCATAAAAACAAACCAACGATTCATACCGAGTAGACTCTAATTCCAAAGTATGAACTTTTCCCTGGGGAGCTGTCACTTGGAATCAGAGTGTAATATGGTTTGAAACTCTTATGTTGTATTTTAGATTGAATAAGTGAGACTGTTTAAGGCAATCAAAGTATGATTCAATTTGTCATAACGCTACATGTTTTCTATTTATACCATTATTGCAGATACAACACAATCAAATACATCCACCCAATGACTTCTTAATACACAACAGATTTAGATTGCACTAATTACATTATTCCATCCATGCATTTCCAGCATACAGTCATTTAACAAATCTAATATCATTATCAGTCATAGAAGACTCCTTTACATCTGTCATAACAGCATCAGGTTTCAATAATAAAGATACCACAATATTGTGCGATTTATTGTGATTATAAAAATATTTGTTTACATTCATGTATACATAAAAACACTGGGATCGTAATAATGAAAGAATATTCATTCATATTAAGTAAATTGTAATGGTAATTGTATAGCACAACCCAAATAACATTGAATGCTAAGTTAATCTCTGTCTTTCTCCAGGGACACACCATGAAAATCAATAAACACAGTGTAGCTATGTAGCTAAGCATCATTCTCTGTTTATCTATAATAGTATTCAATAGAGCTAGAGCATCTACCATTGTTAATAACAATATCTTGATATTACGAAAATTTCTATATGATTCGGTGACCTCCAGAACAGTAAAGTGACATGGTGCTCAATTCATCTGGATTTTCACCAATTCTTGGAAGTTTTTTTTCAATTTGAATATTTTTTGTCCACATTGGAAAACTAAAAGATGCTCACCTATACAGTATAGTTGAGAAAGCATGTTCGATAACACTGGATCTCTACATCCAAACATATACAGTTTATGTTCACCCACTGTACAATATTACTATAAACCCCATTATATACAATATACTGCAAATATATACAGTAACCTGAATACACTAAAAGCAAAACCTGTGAATTGGAACACTTCTGCGAGTAGAACACCTCCATAAGTAGAACATTTTTCCTGGTGCCCATTGGCTTTATGTCTCAATCTCTTTAAGTTGAACACCTCCTCAGTGGAACACTACTTTGAGGTATTAATGTATTTCAATGAAAATGAAACTCCTCAATGCACAGATTCTTAGCTTTATTAAGAAATTTCTTGTTGGATACCATATGATGATGACAGTTGTGAAGATGGTTATAAGCTTTAGTCTATTGAAATAATTTTTACTATGGATGAGCTGACACAATTCTAGCATGTATATGAAGATAACATTACAACTAATCCCTAATTTTGACAAGTAGATCTAAAAGTTTTGAGGTGCACCCTGCATTGAATCATGTTTTGAAATTCATTCTGAGGTATTATTTACTGAAAGTCTGGTTTTTCTGGATAAGTGCAGCCAGACCTCTGTATGATGGTACTTGCTGCATAGTTTGCACACCGGATAGATTCTTCTACTGGTTTTCCTTGCACAATTTGGGCGAGGAAACCTGCAAAAACATAGAACATTACAACTATATAAATCAACATAGTTTTATTGATTCATTATCACATTATAGGTTGACATTTCCAAGAGTGATGAAACATAGTGTTGTCTTTAGGAGTACAATTTCAGTGTTTTTGTGTAGGAGTAGTGATATTTTTATTACAATATCCAATCTCTAAGGTTCTTCCCTTTGCCATAGGCAAGTTAGTTGTTTACTATAACAAGACACAGGTTGAATTGAACAGTATCGTACCCTTGAATAGAATAGATGGGAGGGAAAGTCAAAAATTGCTGCCTTAACATTTAACCAGAATGCCCACAAAACTAATCAGTTAAGATTTCCATACAAGAAAATATCCCTGAAAATTTGAAATCAAACCTGAAAATGCATAGACAAGATTTAACAGACAGAAATTTAATATGGAAAACAAAAATGGATGTCTTAACATTTACCCAGGATGCCCGAAAACTAAAGCAGTGTTTGTAATTTTGATACTTAATGAAAAGAAGGTTCATTTAAAGTTCATTTTGAGTAGTTTAGGAACAGAATTACAAAGATGAGTACTATGAGTCTAGAAATGTGATGACAATAATCTCATCTGGTTTCCCTCATTTAAAAATGTGATATAATAAAGCTTTCATAAAGATGTCGTTTCAATCATAGGGTGTACTTTTATATTATGGATATTATGACATAAAAGAAGTTAGGAGATGCTTTGAATTCAATCAATATCACATTTTTGTTTTCTCTCCACTAGTTTCAACACAGGGAGATTCACACAGAGTTTGAAAGTTCTATCAAGCAGCCCAATGAAGCACATATTAAACCCTCTGACACAGCTCATGTCACTGCTAAAATATGTTTTAGCTAAGTGCATTTTGTAAAACAGTATAGTGATAAACGATAGCCTTACCTCCAACAAAAGCATCTCCAGCACCATTTGTGTCTACCAGTTGGGATTCTTCTAGCTTTAACACTGGGAAGGTGGTAATCTTACCATCTAAAAGATGAAACAAGTGGTATGTAAGCAATCAATTCAACAAAACAATTCAAATTTCTCACCAGTCATGAGAAAAAATCACTCAAACTTGTGTACATGTGAATTAACATTAAAGAATATAAAGATATACAGTATATACACTGGTCTGATTTAAAACTATTTAATACAATACAATAAAACATGGATAGATATTCGACATATATGATAAAACTGAATTAGAAAGGAAATGGCCGAACAACTCAATACAAGGCATTAACATGCAAAATGTCAACACCTGCCATTTGTTACAGATGTTGAATGCCAATCACTGAACACTAACTGCCAAACACCAACCACCATCTTCAAAAAGTTGGAGACCATAACAATATGTCCACTTGTGGTGATTACATAATAATAAATACATCATTAAATTATTCCCTTTTTATATATTACTGGGCTTTCTACACCTTCCTTCAAAGATTGCACAGAATGTATTGAGAACATGTATTGATTACCTTGAGCAACAATGGTTTCATCTGAACCTTGGGTGAACACAACCATCCTGCTTCTCTTTGAGTTGTTCTTGGGGAGGGCTGCTGTCTTTAATGCTATCTCTTTGATATCTTCAGTCTGAAATAGATGGACATGTTCAGCCTTTTCATTTGTAGTTCACAGGTGGCAAATTTGACCACCAATGAAACAAATAATCCACCTCCTGATATTTAATGATTCATTGATTTTATGCATGTTTTAAATATTAATTACATGTTTTCAGTTTGCTATTATGGGGTCTCTGCCAAATACCAGTGAAAGGGCATGCATGTAAATGAATAATGTGTACAATATAAATGTTGATACATTAGAGTATAATCAAAATATTTGGAAAACTTTTTTGTTCTGCTCTTACCTCAAAGTTTTGTTCCTTGGCAAAAGTAACCGCTTCAGTCTCATTTCCAAAGAGAACATCAACATAAGGCAGGGCTGCCATCAACGGTTCCTTGAAGAACTGGCAGATAAATGGTGCGGAGAGGTTTAACATGAATGTCTTGTTGTTAGCGCAGGCGTGCTCAGCCACTTTCATGATAGCAGGGGGGCATACTGTCATGGGGAAACCCTGGAATAACACATTAAATTGACCCTCTGTTCAGTATCACTTGAGATTGGATGGAATTATGAGAGGAAATATCTGACAAATCAAGACATTAAGTGACTTTTGTTCAATAAACTATGTTATCTGGTCTAACAAAAACACTACTGCCATCTATTTATCTCTATATAACAGAATAATATAAATCTTTTGGAATATACATCTACATACATATACTTGAATTGAGGGAATTTTAAATCCTACCATGTGAAACACCTCTAGTTCTATAAGTTTAATACTTTTCAAAGTTCTGCAACCCATTGACTTCATGTTTAATTGAGCTTCTACATGTATAAAACTCCTCAAAAGTGGAACATTTTTAGTGAAATCAAAGGTGTCCGCATGCACAGAGGTAACTGTACACAGGGGTTTCATTAGCAGCAGGCAACAGGCGATTTTCACCGGTTGTTTTCACATAATCGCCTGTTATTTTTAGGGACTTTTCAACTTTTCCACATCAAATTCATGATTTCCATTAATTTTGCCTGTTATTTTCATTTATTTAGCCTGTTGTGAGAAATTCTAGTGAAGACCCTGTGTACATATTGTTGATTGATTTGTGAATGTCTGATTTGTGAATGACTGATTTGTGAATGAATGATTTGTGAATGACTGATTTGTGAATGACTGATTCACTTACGGCTATATAGTAGTATTCTGCAGCTTCTATGAGTTTCTCATTGTCTGGTTTGTCCATGTGGTCTTTGGTGAAACAGTTGGCAGCAGCCAGATTGGCACACAGAGACCTACAATGAGACAACTGTATATAAAATCTCAAAAATATATTGTAACAATAATATCAAAAACAATGAGTCATCCTGCATGAAAGAACACAATTGTATACTTTACAGAGAAAACTACATTGGTGATCTCCATAGCATAGCAGAGAAGGGAATAGCAGTTCCATCCAGTTGAAATTTTTAAAATTATGTTCCAACCTATTACAATGTTTGTATGCAGTCAAAATGATGAAGTATTCAAATATTTGACCAAAATAGACAAAATCAGGATTATGCACTGTTGAGACAAAATGGTGATATAACTGTCACTGAGCATGTTAAGCATGTTGGTGTTAGCCTATCATTAAATATTTTTAAATTATGTCAACATGACAGTTATTTTTGTTTACATGTATTGTATATTGTAGATGGACGATTCTTATTGTACCTGTTCTTGCCATTGTCTGTGATCACTACAGCACATGTTCCTGTAGGTTCAGTATCATGGATCTGGTACTGCACGTTAACACCAGCCTCTTTAGCTGCACTGGAGAGTGTTTCTCCAAACTTGTCCTTGCCAATACAGCCCATGAAGGTAGTGGCTTGGGGTACTCCAATCAACCACTAGAATGCAACACAGTTAGTGAACAATTGGAAGAAATAGCAGTTTACCAGTTCACTGAGAAGAACACTGATACGACTAACCAATTACATTAAGCACAGTGAACAATTTTGAACTCAAAACTGACTAACTGTCTAGAAATTTACCCCCTATGCCCAAAAACTAATCATTTCTATATTTTCATGGCAAGAAACATTCCTATAAATCTCAAATCAATCCTTAGAGCAGATTGTCTAAAATGATAGGACTGGCATCATGTTCATGTTGAGAGGTTTTCAAAACAGGTTTTACTGTACAGTACATCTTGTACATTGCAACTTTGGACAAATTATAGAAGAATCTATAAAGTCAGGCCCCTCTGAAAGTTGTATTTTACACTTAGTTGAATAACAAATGTTGGGTAGAAAAATGCAAATCTTTGTTATACCTGTGCAACTCTGATAGCATTCAGTGTAGCTCCTGCTGCAATGTATTCTACCTTATCCTGGTATTTCTCTACCATCTCAGCATAGCTAAAATATATTGAATAACATTTACCAAAGGAATATAAAGGCAAATTCTTCTATACATATATATGGGATGGACATTTTACAAAAGTATGTCTGAGAGTTTCTGAGGTCATAACACTGTAAACACATACTATGTTCAGGGGTTCCACTAGAATTTCTCAGAACAGGCAAAATAAATGAAAACAACATGCAAAATTAATCAAAATCAAAAATTTAACACAGAAAATTTGTATAGTCCTTAAAAACAACAGGCGATTTTGTGAAAACAACTAGTGAAAATCGCATGTTGCCTGCTGCTAATGAAACCCCTGTATGTTTGTGCCATTATTTTACTGCTACTCTTGCTAAATATACAAATAAATATACCCCATATTCAGCCCTTTCATATACTGATGATGGGTGGTGAATTTGACCACACAAAAAACAAAATCTGCCTGCTGTTTTCCATTGTAAATACAAAATAAGCATGTTTCCCACCTGCTGTTATAGGCAATTTGCTTAACATGCAAACAAAGGGGTGTAGATGCTTCAATAAGTATCAATATAAAGAACAAACAACTATCAATTTTATGTGCTATACTCACATGGGTTTATGTTTAAAACAACTATAAATTGTATGCGCTATACTCACATGGGTTTATGTTTGTCTTCTGCCAAAATGGCATCATTGGGCTTCATGTCATATCTGGAAATAGAGACACGTGTGAAAACAAAAGCAAACATGATAAAGCCATTATGAGTCTATATCAAAACGAGGAAAAAATTTAAATTGAAGAAAGGTATTTCTGAACCGGTATGACATACAAAGTGTACAATTTCTCAAGTTGTAACAAGCTATTTGCTATAAATTCATCGATTTGCTGTTACTAAAATAGACTTCTTGATCAATTTTTATGTTAAGTAAAATACTATAACTTAGTTGCTAAAGCAAGAGAAATAGCATTAAATGCATCGGAAAATATTTCATTTGGTTAATTATGTCTTTGTACTTACTTAGTGAGGAATTCGTCATCACATGGGGCAGAGATGTCCAACAATGGGTTGCCATAGCCAAATAGGATACCTTCACTGAAATAGAAAGAAAGAACTTAAATGCATACAGTGCAACTTAGAAGAAATAATGTGTAAGAGATCAAACTGACGATTTCTCGAGTTCAGTCTCAAAAAATGACACTGTAGCAGGCCCGTAGCCAGGGGGGGGGGGGGGTTCGGGGGGTTCGGACGAACCCCCCCCCTGGCCAAAATTTCTTTCAAAATCATGCAGTTTTTCACCATTCTGACTATTTTTTGAGTGATTTTTGGCCAAATTTGCCAAAGTGAACCCCCCCTAGAATTTTTTTTGGAAAAGTGAACCCCCCCTTGGAAAATTCTGGCTACGGGCCTGCTGTAGTGTGTCCAAATGCTTAACACCTGCTAAAACTTCCATTTTATATAAATGAGCTCTACTATTAATGTTAAGATAGTAATATTTACAAGAAGCCACATTTTTCACATTTATGGCTTCCTGGTTTCATATAAATTGAAATAAAAATGGTATAAATGTTTTAAATTTGAGATCTGAACTACCACATAGTGACAATGACCTGTTCACTTTGGTAAACTTGCCTTCATTATCATATCTGGTTCAACCTTTTGCATTCATTCATAAATGAAGGTTCAATCTAGTTCCAACTGGTCACTTTGATAATTTCAATATTACATATTTTTATCAGTTCTAATCTTATAAATGACAGCCATTTATAATGTTCTGTCTGGCTTAGCTTTTGTTGATTTCTACATAAACAAACAAGACTAAAGGCTCTTTTAATAAACAAACAAGACTAACGACTTTTAATAACATCAAATTCCTCATAATTTTAATAATATGACAAATATAACTGGCATAATCACTACAATTATACAAAAGTTTCTCCGAACAAATATCCCGGTTCATGGAAATGTAGTTTTAAAAGGCATAAGGCCAAATTACAAAGTACAACCATGGGTTTTCAATAGATTGAATGCCCAATTTTCAATTCATGGTACACAAAATCCATGTCCTGTGATTGGGGTATGTCTAAGTCATGTATCCAAATAATATTTCTGTATGTCTAAGTTAGTCTATATCCAATAGACTGAATATCATTCCAAATTTCAGACTACAGGATATAGTCTAATGTCTAAGTCCTGTATCCAAATGCTACCATCCAAATAATATTTCTAATCAAATGCCATGTTATTATAGAGTAATTGAAACATGTTATTGTAAGAAGGTTCCGAAGCTGCACAAATTGGCTTATTAGCCTTTTGCAGATTATTGATGTAAAAGCTGCTTTATGGCATGTACCTCTATTCAATCATGTATCTTTTATTAGATTTTTGTTGTAACAATACATGAGTATTTGTTAATTTGAAAGTTATGCTCTGTTGATATTACAAACTAAACAAGCTTACCGAGCCATTTCAAATGTATGTGCAAGCTGTGCAACTTATACTGAAAGGCAGAGCATCACCTGTAGTGGGTTATATACATGTATCAATGCCACATATACATACATTCTCAAGGGGTGTCAGGTTTACTTACCAAGTTACTTATCAGAGCTGTTTGAATTTTTACACCTAATTTCAGACAATTATATTCATCATAGATTTAGTCAGGTTTAAACTGTTAATTTAAGTATTATGAACAGTTCAGAAGAACTTATTAATGCTATATGTACATAGGTGACACCCCTCCGTTTGGAAGGGTTTACTAACATCAGCAAATCAGTGTAAAATGTTGAACTTTGACAGGTATTATCTTTTTCACACATGTTTGGCTATTGTCAAGTGTTAGACGGAAGATCTGATACAGAGAGCACTTATGCCTTTGCGAGACATAAATTAAACACGAAAATTGACACAACTATCATGTGAATGTTGCTTTGTTTACTTTCCAAAAACTTCACGTGTTTTCTAATTTAAATATTTCAGAATTTCAACTCAGTATAACTGTCCAATCAAGAGATATCAAACATCTACTTTGTATCTAACTAAAACTATAGTCATCAAAGATATAATATCACTTAAACATTAGTAGTATTGCTTTCCAGATTATGTATAATACCTCAAACTTGACCGAGCCTTTTTGACTTCTGGTTCTTCCCCCGCCATTTTTAAGAAATGTATACGGAGTTAATAAATTATTGACCAATCAGATTTAAGCTTCAATTCACATTGATGACATGGAGAAAAAATATTTTTGATGAATTTTTGTACATTTTAGGGTTTTTCTAGTCATACAGGTAGCTATATTGATATTTAGCTAGTGTATATAAACTACATAGATAACATGGATGATACAGAGGATGTTGCTTTGAACTTTGGTGAAGAAGAAGACCAAGAAATTCAAAGAAGAAAAAATATAAAGTTTGTATTTTTTATTTTTTTTCCATCATTTTTTCATTTTTACACCTTTCAACAGAGGAGGATGTACATCAGAATTCATAAATGAGGCCATTTACATGTCAGTATGAAGCTTTAGTGGTTTTATAGGAATGAATGAACGCAAAGAGCTCACGCGTCTCAGACTTATGGTTAATCGACAGTGATTTGCTTAGCGTTCAGTCAGTGCTCTAGACCAATCAGTCAATTCAACAACCCCATGAGGTACATTTATGAATAACACTTAAGAGAGGAGGTTTATATATCTGCTTTAATATGGGCTTATTAGCCTTTGCAGATTATTGACATAGACAAAGAAAAAACATGGAGTTGAATATTTGACTAGTATGTATCCAACAGACTGACTAGAAGTCAGTCTGTTATGATGTACTACTTTCCTGTGGAAATTGCAGTGAAATTTTTTGCACAAAATTATCAATTAGAGAAACCATTTCTTCAATAAAATAAACATTACAAAATTTCAATTAAATAGTAAGGTACAATTAAATGCAATAAAAAGTAACACAGCATATTGTCAAGTGGAAATAAAGCTAGTTGAAGTAACAAATGAGCAAATTAATTTTACCAATCGGCCATTTTGAATAGCACTTCCTATGTAAACAAATATTTCATATTACCAAACTTTAACATAGGTGCCTTATAGTCTGAATATAATTCAGACTAAATAGGATATAGTCTAAATATTTGACTACATTTTCTGAAGAGTGTAAGAATCATTGTGTTTTATTCTTGGATTTTCCAAATTTTATTAACTCTCGCGATGTCATACATAATGTACAACCGTGGACTTTTGAAAGCCCATGGTACAACTAAAATAATACTATTTTGATAGATAAAAGAAGAAGCTTAAGCAATGTAAGTTGTGGCCTCTTGGGAATAACTGTAGAGTTAAAGAAACCATGACCAAAGGACCAATCTCACATTTCACATTAATTTAGGCTATGATTGAAAAGCATGAGAATTATGTAGAACTGTAGGTATTTTAGTTGAACCCGAATCTCCTTTTTATTTCTTATTTCAGGCATCCAATAGCAGTGTTCTTCCATCTTGTATTCCGTGTGTGCTCCATCTTGGCTTATCTCTTCTGTGGCTGGTTCAGCAGTAGCTTCATCCTCAACTTCATCGTTATTATACTCCTCCTATCTATGGACTTCTGGACAGTGAAAAATATCACAGGTAAAGATGAACAGAAACAGTTTCAACACTACACTGGAGTATCCAACCCATGGTCAGGGAATTTAATTTTTATGTAACACTGTTGTTATAGTCTCCAACTTTTTTGTTGATGGTGTTCGGCTGTCAAAGTCTGACATTCGGCAGTAAACATTTGGCAATCAGCTTCTGTAACAAATGGTAGGTAGTGACATTTTGCAGGTTAATGCCTTGTTTATGATTTTCTAGAACTGCCATCTTTGTCGAGCAAAATAGAAATTGATGAAAAAATAGTAAACCGAGCCCTCTTTATCATCATCATATCATTTTAATTATAATGTATACATGTTATTGCAGGTCGGCTTTTAGTAGGTCTAAGATGGTGGAACCATATTGATGAAGATGGAAAAAGCCAGTGGATATATGAATCTCGTAAAGTATGTATTTCACAAACTTTAGTTTTTGTCCTTTAGTACCTTTAACAGAATTTACCTTGAACCTCAGTTTGTATGGGGTACACATGTAATGCACTATCAGTTTTGAATACAAGTTTCATTCCTTGGGAGGTTCATGTATCTCCCTCAAGATAAATCTTTAATCCCAAACCTGCCATTTCTAAACCATCGTGTATATATATTCAATGTATTCATATAAATGTTGGTCTAATCATAATAATGTTTTGTATTTCTGCTTGTATCAAAGTATTTCATATTGCTGATTTGCGATACAATGCTAGAGCAATATGATACTGTTGTATATACACACAGAAAAAATTTGCTTTTAAATATGTGTAACTGATCTAGTTTTACTAAATTAACCAAATGAACGTCAGATTTTGTAATAAGATGCTAAAAACTGGCAAAAATGAAAAATGTTCCTATATCCAATGTTTTCAGTCTCTTTTTAAGATTCTAAAATACAGTACACTAAAATTAAATATGTTATTTATTGATCACAATAATGAAATATAATTATAATATCTTTATTATGTTTCAGGGAGCTGCCAAGAATCTAGTGAGTACAGCAGAGTCTCAGATATTCTGGCTGTCCCTCATTGTTATTGAGATCTTTTGGGTGGTCTTCTTCTTTGGAACTTTATTTACATTCAACTTTAAATGGCTGGTAAGTAGTGATATGGTTAATAGGAGGCTGAATTTGTGTTGAGCTGGTTTATGTTAATATATCTAAAAGGTTACTCTTTTAAAACGATATGATTCTAGTATGGTTTATATGACAATTCAATACAAAGTTATTTCAATACAAGTTTCTACAGTATACAAATTAATCAAAATTATTCAAAATTGCAAAATGTTAACCAATTAATCCTCCCATTGTACAAAACAAAGATGATATTCAATTCTTTTTATAATATGAATCTTACCGAACCAATAATGCCTTGGTTTATGCCTACTCAATGTTTTGCATGATACATACATTCTATATTAATGGGACAAAAAACACTGAAATATATGGTTAGTTGCTCTTTAGTTGAAATTGACTTACAGTATGTCAAACAAAGTAATTACAGGGGTAAAACCTTAGTACTGTTCAGGCCTGTTGTCAAAAATTCTTTCAAAATTATGCAGTCCTCACCATTCTGAGGACTTCAAGTGATGTTGGGACCAAACCGGTCAAATGTGAACTCCTTTTACAAAAACTGTACATGATTATCAAAGTTATGTAAATCAAGGAACCCTTAACATACTCCCATCCTAATAAGATAACCCGACACACCCTGAATTACGATGTGTATTATTCCAGATGATTGTCATAGTAGGAATCCTGCTGAATGGTGCCAACATATATGGATACATCCGCTGTAAATTAGGAACAAGAAAATCTATCTCTAGTATAGCGGGAAGCTTCCTTGGTGCTCAAGTATTTAGAAATGTAAGTGCCAGGTATTTCAATCAGTATTGAAATAAATGATGGGTTGAGTCACACGAGGGCCTGTTTCCTGTGAATTGTGAACTGTGTAATTCAATTTTTTTCATGATATTGCCAAAGCAATATTTTGAATGTCAATTTAAGGGATATTTGAGAAATGGCCGCCAAATAAAACCAAATGAAACCCTTTTAACTTTGAACTGAACATCTCACTCTTGAAAAATAGCTTACAACTGTTGTTTAAGGGGCTTATTTTGAGATCCAAGGGCTTGACTTACAGAGGTGTTCAGTTTGACAGATTGTGCAGAGCTCTGCTTGAAAGTGTAGTTTCCATTACTTTCTTACATTACCATAACCAACCATCAACAATAATGCGAGATCTGACATTTATAACAAAGAAGCATTTTGAGTTGCATTCCATGCCAGGTTAATAGCTAATGGCTGTCTAATGGCTATGTCAGGGACTCAGGGTCTTTAGTCAGTTTATGACAGAACTTGCATGAATTAATGATTTTTTAAATTTAGTCAGCATGTACGACATGTTTTCCTTGCAATATGGGTATGGTTCTATTTTTACGGGCTTAATCAAGTTGCATTTTTAGTGTTGATGGATAGGAAATCATGTTATGAGGTTTTTCACATGTGTAACGCGTAATGGGTGAATCTCTAGCGTATCTCTACTGGTGTTAAGTCATTCATGTGTTACATGTTTATGTGTGTATTTTAACTTCTCAGATGGTCAGTCAGCCTAGTCCAACTAAGGTCCCAACCCTGGAGTCTATCCTCAACTGGTGAGACTTTAACATGTCCTACCTCTAATTGATGTTGTTGCATTTATCTAGTATTCTAGGTGTAAAGTGGTATAGGTGTTGTCACTACTAGCTAGTATGCTGAATTTTATACCAACATTTATTTTTATACTTCAGTTTTATTAAACCGGGCTGAATTGTACTGTACTGTTCTGTACTGTACTGTACTGTACTGTACTGTACTGTACTGTACTGTACTGTACTGTACTGAACTGTACTGTTCTCTTTTGTGTTGTATTGTACTGCACTTTATCCCCTACTGAGTCATTCTGTTCTGCACTGCATTATACTTTCTGTTGTGCCATTTCCAGAAAATATTCTTGTTGTTGTAATTTATTTTTTGAAGATGTCTCATTTTGTAAAGTTACATAATTATGCCAATATTAGTGAAATAATATTAATAGTGTCCATTCAATAAAAAATATCAGCATATTTCAGTGTTATTGTTTATCAGTGTAATGTTAGTAATTGTTGATAATATCACATCTATATTCATGGTGATCTTAGCTGAAATATCTTTCTGCAAAAATAAGTTTGTTTCATCTGAAGTCAAAGCTTGACTTATGGATCAAGTTTTTGATTTTGCTTCTCATTGTATTGGTAAGAATTGTGATTGAGAGATGAACATGAAGAATATAAAACATTCAAATATGAACATTAAGAAAAGTAAAACTTTAATATAAATGAATTATTTGTAAAAATCAATTTTTAACGAAATGTTACTTTCCTTTTCCTGAAAATTAGACTTTCTAAAATGTGATATGTTTATCCATTTCTAATATTTCATGTAAATATGTATGTATTAACTGTATGTTCCAGATGCTTGCTAAGGCTGCTACAACTGCCATGACTGCAAACACAGCAGAGACAACAACCAAGTAGAACATGCCACACACCCTAAAACCAATCACTAGTGAATGTATGGAACTGCAAGGGATGAATGAAACAATATTTATGGGAATGTTTTTGACTGAAAATCTGGATTATAATTTCCACTGAGAACATTTTTAGTTATGAGATTAGGGACTGATGACTATCTTGGCTGTTCAAATTTTCATGGTGGTTAATGGAAATTGATTTCATGAAATTTACTAGATTTTCTTTCTGAGTGTTTAAATCAGTTCACACTTGCCAATTTCTATTTTCTTTCACTTGCCTTATTCAAAGAAGTCATAAGTGTGAAATTCATGATTTGATGCTGAAAGTTTACATTTGGTCAGTTCATTTCTTTATAAGCTCTCTGATACGCAAAATCATGAACATTCATGACATTTCTCATCATGTACTTGAGAATCGTTAATGGTTTATTTGAGTAAAACAAACATTTCAAGTTTTAGTTTCAATACTATAGTATTTAAAGTGTTTCAGCTTTAGTATTTTAAAAAGTTTATTTCAATTTATTCATTGGATTATTTTGGAATTTCAAAAATTGGTAGATCTAGAACTATTTCATTATGCAATTTACTCTGCTGTTACATTCCACCTTCATCTTATTGTAGCGTAATTAATGCTCTACTGTCTAAGTACATGTACTAGTCTAGTATTTTATATTCAAAATCAAGGAAGATTGGCTCCCAGAGTGCAACATCGATATTCTGTCCCATATATGGACATGTCAGATACAAAATTCGAATTGAAACATCTGCCATTTTGTTCACTTCAACATTTGAATCGTGATTTTGGTCCTATTTTTTAGCGAAAAATTCCAAAACTCACAAGAAATGATCGAAATATTGGTTGGAATCTTAAGAATTGTTTATTTTGAATATATAGTCGGTTACAATTTCAGAAAATAATGACATTTTCATTGTTCGAAAATACTGAGTTATGATCATGGGAACCAATCCTCCTTGATTCAATCAAAATCTTGATAAAAGCTTCTGTACACAGGTAGTACTAATCAAGATTGATTATTAGGTATTTCCACTGAAGAGTTAATGTTTATGCAACAGAAAGTACAATACAATACTTTTATGAATGTGATTCACTTTATAACCCAGACTCATTGAGGTCTGTATCATGTCTGATTGTGATATGCAAAATCTGAGATTCTGTTCATGAGCAGATAAAAAGGTGAACATTCCCCAAATCCTCTAGAAAATAGGAGGGTAAAAGGAAGTTAAACAGCTACTAATATGTAGTTTGTGATATGCATGTAAATATTGGGTTTATGCAATAATATGTAAATAATAAACAAAAGGGATTGACTACAATATTTAAATAATTTTATTTGTTTCATTTGATCATATTTCATTTTCATATTACTCAGTTATGAGAGCTACATGTATTTTATAAATAACAAACACCATGACATGGATTTTATTTAATTGTCAATTTTGGCGACACCGGAAACAAGTTGCTATATAGTCTATATAGTTCAGAGTGCTTTGGAACTAGGAGATTTATGATCTTTTTCAAATCGATGTTTGATTTTTAACAGAAGCTTCTACTTTGCTAATCATTCCAGTAGAATATTTAGTCGTTTGGCACATTCAGATTATCAACTGGAAATATTTTTTAATGTCAGGTGAATGATACTTCATGTCCATCAGGTAACAATTCATCCGGATCAATGTTTAATTGCTGTGGTGGTAAGGGGTCCTCTTTCATATATTTGAAGGGGTCTTCAGATTGGTGTAGGTCCATCTGCTGAAGCCAACTTTTGTAGCGCAACATGTAGATTTCGTAGGCATTGTCCCATTGCCTTGAAGATAGGAAGGCACTCATCTTTTCCCCTTGTTCCTGAAAATGTAATACCCTGATAAATGCAAGCCAGTAAAGTGTTGCTAATAAGGTCTACTTATATAAGGAAAATAAAAAAATGGTGGCCATTTTGAATTCAGTAACAATCTTGAGCAGTCTTAATGTCCCTCGGGCATCAGCATAAAAATTTGAACCAAATTCCATGACTGGTATTTGAATTATTGATTTTTTGTGAAAAATGGCAGCCATCTTGAAAATTTTTATGCCCCTATGCCCCTCAGGAATTATCATTAATTTGAACTTGAATATTTTTTGAGACTATAGATGCGAGTTGAAATAATCTTGATTTACATCATTAAAAATTTAAAATTCAGTCAAACTGATGTCATATTTGGAATCTACATGTAGAATTACATCTAGAAACGTGGTTTTGAAGAGTTTATCAACTTTGAAAATTTAATTTTCTTTGAATAGGTGACTTCTAGGTTGGGGAGATTCCCCATAGACCCCACCCATGTTGTAAAATCACAAAAAGTGAAATATCTTTTCTTGTGTCGGGCAGATAATATTTTCTTTTACGGGACATATTTTAATTTGTACAACTATCAGATACATATAATAAGGGTAATATGAAAAGTGAACTACTAAAACTGATGAATATTCAAGTTTAAGAGAACTTTGAAATACCCTGCCATGTTATTTCCCTCGAATAAGCCACATGGTGGCTAAAACTGGTAACTACCTATGACCTACTCGCATAGGAAAAATTGAGAGGCCATATTCACAACTCCTTCTTGGGCAGGGGTCTATTTCTATCTCTATAATACTTTAGCCTATAAAATTTGAATCCAATCCAGCAACTGGTATTTGAGTTATTGACTGGACAGACAAACGAATGGATGGATGAACAGCTACTTCATATCCTTGGAATAATAAACAGCTATAATACACACCTTTTTCAGCAAGATTTGTTTCCCCTTGGCCCGTTTCTTCTCCAATTCTCTAAGAATGCCAGAGTGGGGTTGTATGTTGTATTCCACCATCAGTTCCAGCACTTTACGCAGGAGTTGAAAGTTGTCACCACAACCAACGATTATATTGCTTATTATATGTAAGTTTGGCTTCATGTCATACTCCTAGAAATGTCAATTTTCAAAATCAATGAGCAATAAAAATAGTTCAGGGGAAATTAACCTGAAATATGGTAAAACCTGTCTTATCTGAACGCCATTGGGACCAGCTAAAAGCATTCGGAGGTGTTCGTATTTCAGGTTTTTTGCGTCCCCAAGATTCATGATTTTGAAGAAATATAAATGCACTTATATTAATGAATATTACATAGGTTTATGGCATTCCAAAATCCAATTTAATTGACTTAGGTCATGCTAGAAAGACCCATGATTACTGAGACAATTCTCTGTTTTTTCAAAAGCTTTAATATCAAACACTCACCTTCAGAAGTTGAATGAAGTTGTCCAATGTAACAACATCCAGAGTTCTGGTAACTAGGCAACCAAATGTTCTTATGTTGGGAGTGAGCCTCTTACTGGATGTGATTCTATTGAAAACCTCCTGGAACACCAGTGAAACAATTTAGGACAATTTGATCATATAATTTTAAATTAATCACATCAATTCTTCAACAAGGCATTAACATGCAAAATGTCACAACCTGCCATTTGTTACAGATGCCAGACTCTAAATGCCAATTGCCAAACGCTGAATACCGTCAAAAAGTACGAGACTATAACATTATGTCACCACCTAAACTGATATGATTTATTTAAATGTGAAGAATATGAGAAGAATAACTTTGTTCAAAACATACAAAGGAACATCTTCTGTGGAAGAAAGTAGCTTTTCTGCAAAAAAGGTTTGAAACTACCAGAAATTCCACTAAATATACTAGGATTGTGTACATGGTAAAGGTGAGACAAAATCTGGGAAGAACAAGATCACATCAGAAACTTTCCCTATGGATATCCCTTCTCACTATATTCCCTCCCACCTCCATTCGACTTGCATTCCTACACTGCCCTTCGCTCTACTCAACTCTACCTCCTTGAATCTACTCCTTCCACTAAACCCCACCCACTTTATTACCACATTTACCCCCTTCAACATGAGACCATACTCCTTCAACATAACCTCCTCTCACTGCTCTCTGACCATTTCAACCCCCTCAACAATCTATACTTACTTGAGCACCTTTGTAGTCCTTTCTCCTGTTGCGTTTCATTATAAGCAAGTTAAGAAAGTCAACATCTGGATGTACCTGCATCTGTTTCATATTTGCTAGGAGTTCCTTCTCTATATGGGTATCTGAGGGAATTAGTTCCAATAACTGACTAAATGTTTTGATATCTGGCTTTGCACCATCTACTGACATATGTGATAGAAAACCACTCATACCCCCTAGCAGCATGAGCCTGTCCTGAGGTGTTTCAATTCTATCCAGTGATATGACATCACGGAATTTTCCACTTGGGTTTAAAATATTTGGCATTTTGCCTGATATTACATGGGGTTGGGCTTGGAGTGCTGTTTCACTGTTTAAAAGTTTGTGTATGGCTTCTGCTTCATACTTCTCCTTTTTGACTTTCCACCATGGTTTAGAATTTGTGTTGTCATCTTTAATCACTCTAGTTTCCAGTGCACTTTCATTGTTCTCCTTATGTTCTGTGGGGGTTTCCATTTCTACATTTAGGGCTGTGATTTGTAAAAGTTGATTTCCATCCATCCCAGTTAACATCGCAGGTGTTTGGAGTGTTGCGTTTTGTGGTTTCCCGCTAATTTTTTTGATGAGTGTATTTGCAAACTCAGGGGTGCCCAGTCCGCAATCTCTGGCTGCTCTAAGGAGTAGATTGTACTGATAACCTTCAGGTGTCAACTTTCTCTTTCTCATAGCTCGCCAAACCTGGATTAACAACCATTATTCATGTAATGATAGATGTCCTTGAAGATATTAACCTAATAGTCTATGAAAATGTTATGAATAATGAAGATAATCGTTAAGCCTAATCGACTGTAATATAAGTTTTGTATTATATGGTTAGGGTAATAAGAACTTCACAGTTGTGTCGGTTAATCATCATTCTTTATTCATATCATTAATTATATTTACGGATGAACTCTCATTAACTGTAGAGATTAAACCATATATTATTACAATAATCTGCTAACTAAGCTATATCAAGTCAATGGAGCATAAGTACAATGGCACATAAGGGAAACTTTTGAAAAATCAATACCGGATACAAAAGAAAGGTAATTTCATTTAGGGAATGGGATTTGGACTCTGAACTTTTGAGATCTTCCCAAGACAAGTAAAACTCAAGAATATGTATTGTAAAAGTGTAAGGATATGAACTGTATGATATAACATAAGAAACATAAACACTGTAGAAGAGTAATACTATTCTGGTTTACCAGAGCCCTTTTATCTGGTTGCATGGGACTTTGGAAAGTTCGAGAATATGGGGTTCTAGCAGGGAATTTTGGAAGGGATGGATATTTGATTATACATATGAAATATGATTTTTACTACTACTTATAAAAGAATGTTAAGTCCAATAAGGCTAAAGGATACATCAGTTGATGACTAGCTCCATAACACATATTTGAAAATGTGTCAAGTCGTACTCACCTCTATTGCATGTTTAAGACCTGCTTCTTTATCAGAGATACATGCCATGAGTAGGAAACTGAAACACTCTGTATCCAACCTGAATAGAATGAATCATAAGAACAGAGAATGTAGAAAACAGTATATATTATTACCAATCTAGTGTGTACATGTAAACATGTCCATTTCTTAGATTCAGACAGACCGCTTTACCAAAAGTGCCATAAAATTGATAAGGCCAAAGAATGTAAATTTCTATTTAATAAACGTCCAAAAGGATAACATGAGAGTACAAAGCAAACAGACACATATAGAAATCATTAGTAATACATGCATACATCTTTTATAATTAGATTAACTTAAACTTCAATTTTTCTTCTCAGATCCAAAGTTCCAAATAAGAATTTTACACCATGTTTCTTTATCCACATCAGATATTATCAATTAAAAAATTAAATGTTATTTTCATCATTTTGGTTTGAACCTTGTTGTTTCTTATCTGAACCATTGCTTACTTATGTCCTTTCACCTTCATATCATCCATGGTTGCAAAGGCTGCCTGCATGTCCCCCGTGATAGCATATGACTTCATGATTGCTTTAAATGTAGTGGGATGGATCTCAACACTCTTTTCAAGCATTGCATTATGCAGATACCTCACCTTAAATATAACAGGGCATTAACAACTGACATGCAAAATGTTACCATATGCCTTTTGTTACAGACACTGAATGCCAAACGCTGAACACCAACTGCCAAACACCAACTACAGCAACAAAAGTTCTGGCGGTGACATAAAAAAGTCAAGAACCGAAATGGTTACAAGAAAGGTTATGATGATTCAATAGTCCACCTTATTTAGGTATTATTACATTTGATCAAACTCATAATTGATTTATGACCACACTTTTTTCTTGGGGATACAATGTAAAGCAACATATTATTTATACAAATAAGTAATCTTTTACTTATATATGATATATTTAAGCTGTTAGATCATAACCTATGCTGGGTTTAATGTGATTATATTAATCATTTTATTTCAAATTCATTTAATGTGTCTAGTGTTACCTGCTTCAGTGCTTTATCCTTATATGGTGAATTTGCACAAGCATTGAACATTGAGGTATAAGTTGGTCCACTTGGCATTAAACCATGTTCTTTCATCTGTAAATATAAGGCCATAAAATATAATACGTATTAGGAGACACCAGGACTTCCTATTAATTTAAGGGATTTAATCCTTCTATTGAGCTACCCCTGAGCTATACCTACGTCATATATATTTAAGCTTGATATCAGTGTCGTAATAAAGATAAAATGAAAAAATTTAAATAGTAAAAATATGTAAATTTAAAAAATTGAGGAGACACCCGGATTTGAACCAGGGACCTATCGATCTGCAGTCGATTGCTCTACCACTGAGCTATATCTCCTTCATATGCTCCTGAACGTAAAACTCAGTACAAGTAAGACTTAATTATTCTAATTGCGAGAAAATAAATCACATATGTCAGGGAACATGTCACAGCTGCAGGCTACATACAACTTGTACATTGTTGTATTGATTTGAATAGACAGTGATAGACAGCAAGTTCAATATGAATAAATCAATTAATCAATCAATGAATACTACTTGTACACATCAAATTAATTATTCTGATATAAATTTTGACAGTGATGGTTTGTTTATTGGATAATGGTGTTTGAATTTCTGTGCAGCCAGTAGAAATGTAACAATGTCTAAGTGATGATATGCAATCAACACCAGGCCCGTAGCCAGGGGGGGGGGGGGTTCGAAGGGTTTGAGCAACCCCCCCCCCCCCCCAACCAAAAATTCTTTCAAAATCATGCAGTTTTTCACCATTCTGAGCACTTTTTAAGTAATTTTGGCCATTTTTGGAACAAAATTGTCAAAAGTGAACCCCCCCGGAATTTTCCAAAAAGTGAACCCCCCCCCTTGGCAAATCCTGGCTACGGGCCTAAACACAATTATAATATCCCTGTGTTACTGCTTTCAATTTGGGGAGCCTGGTGATGTCAGTCTAAATACTCAAGATATCTTGATGCAATTCTTGACAAGCCATTATGTAAATACATTGCAAATCCAAATTTTGGCACTTTTGTAAATCTGACTTGAGTTGCACAAATGTTGTCATTTTAAATTGCAGGACCAGTAACTTACCCAAATGGTCTTAACTGATCAATTTTAAAAACATTTTGAGTCATTTTAATTTTCAATTTCAATTTGAGTCATGCTCAGTTTTTTACATAAAGGATCACTCGAGTTCCATGAATGGATTTATTTGAGAATCTGCTCATTTTTATTTCTGACACCATAGAAAGTTGCAATTTTCTTCCCCATAATTTATTTCTGGGGCAGGCTGTGCAAAAGTTGCAATGCAATTATGCAAAATGTAATATAATACAATTAAATAAATGTATGTCTTATATTAATTTTCTGGATATTATACAAATATCTAAATCTATTGAGGTGAAAGTGACACAGGTATTCACAGAAAATAGAATTAAATATTTGTTTTATTATTCACTGTCATATTCCTCACTCCCATTAATGGAATAACAAACTTTTGATGTCTTATGAATCATAACAAATTACAGTTTAGTTTTAGTTTAGTTTTAGTCTGGACTAAATCGGACTGGTGGATATCGCTATTTATTTGTTAGTCATGTGAAGGACATGGACCCATCAGAGAGTGAGGAATATGACAGTGATAAAATAATGTCATTTATTCCTTCTTCTTATCTTTTGATTACTTATTGATGAAAAGTTGGTAATTGAATTTAATGAATAAACTTTCTTTAATCAAAATAATAAATAGATTATTATGTCACATAAAAAGAAAAATAATGAAAGAAATCTTATGTTGAATTTCTTAAACAGTAAACAACATTCAGACATTGTTTTATACCAGAATTCACAGACATATATTTCACAAGTATGTGGCACTTATTATTGACAAATGTATTTTTTATCACCCAAGTTAATAAAGAGGTTCTTGTAGGAGTACCTGTGCAAGATCATCCATTCTGGATGAGCTTTGATAATTTTTCCCTATAAAGTCGACAAGATAAAGAAACATTATCAAAGTGAATCAAGAATAGCTGATACTGCACAGGTATGAGTACAAGAAAGTTTTTCTCATATGACTCTACAGGGTGTCCCGAAAGTATGGGCCCCCCCCTAGGCAGACATATTCCAGTGTCCTCATAGTATGTGTCATATATCATTTTAAAGCTTATCCAAAGTTACATCGATTTACCAAGTATCATGGTTTAACTCCCAAATGGGAAAAAGTTACAGTCATTTTAAAAGTTAGTGTTTTGTCAAAACAAAGTTAAATTTTACGCCACATTACTAGTCAATGTGTCCCCCCTTGGCCATGTTAACAGCAGAAATTATTTTCAGATATGACCTTAAAAGCGCTTAAAATAGGGGTGTGGAATTTTATAACCCTCTTAAAACCTGTTAAGGGACTTTAGAAGAGTTTTCTTAGAGTTTCTACCCTCACCATTCTCTTTTTCCAACTCAATATCAATTCCGACCCGAAAAGAATTGCTGAATTAAGATGGCCTGGGAGGACACATTGACTAGTGATTTGATGTAAAATTGAACTTAATTTTGACCAAACACTAAATTTTGAAATGCCTGTAACTTTTTCCCATTTGGGAGTTAAACCATGATACTTGGCAAATCAATGTAACTTTGGATAAGCTTAAAATGACATATGACACATACTATGAGGAGACTGGAATATGTCTGCCTAGGGGGGCCCCATACTTTCGGGACACCCTGTATATATTATATGCCACATTTTCACCTTTTTATGGCAAACCTGAGTAAATTATGCTAAATCGTTAATCAATCATGTCTTCCTGATTTCGGGAAACCTCAATAGTTCATGCTTAATAGTCAAAATAATTTCATCAGGGATATGCCATTGTGCAACACTCAGTGGCTCTAATGAGCAATCAAGACTGCCAAAAGCAAATGCCCTTACCTTGTTATAGAGCTGGAATGCCTTTTCCATGTAGCCAATTTTGCCACAGGCTGTAATTAGCATGGTGAAGTGGTACCTACTAGGCATAACTCTGTCTTTCTCTAACATGTCTACCTCTAGTACACTGATAGCCTTCTTAAGCTGGAATTTAACATTAATCCACATACTGTACATGTACTGAGGGTTCACTAGAATTTCTCACAATAGGCTAAATAAATGAAAACAACAGGCAAAATTAATGGAAATCATGAATTTAACATGGAAAAGTTGAAAAGTCCCTTAAACAACAGGCGATTTTGTGAAAACAACCAATTAAAATTGCCTGTTGCCTGCTGCTAATGAAACCCCTTAATGTATATTGCTTATACATTTCTGAGGTCTGGTCAACAGGTTTGATTGTATGGTCATTTTCCCCAATTTCGATATCAACATTTCTTTGTTAAAATTATAATATCCAATAATTTTGCAGATTGTTTTAATATTTTTGATTGACTATTGAACATTTAAAAAGTTCCTGTTAGAGTTAAGTTCTCCCTGATTGGTTGGCGACTGAACATTTAAAAAGTTCCCTTATTTGACCCACGGAGTATACTTCTTAGTTCACCTTGAATGTATTTGCCAATTTATCAGTAAGTTAAGTAGTAGATCATCATAATGCTATGTACTTACATCCTTGGCTCGTATTGCATTAAACATCTTCATGAGGTAATAGTGTTGTGTGTGACGGCGATCATATTTAGACAGCCGCAGGTATGGCCTACTCTCTGGATCTTCATCCATGTTTTCAGTGTCCTTCCCCTTGTACTCTACATCCCTGGAACAGCATTTCAATAATTCATGATTCATTTAGTTAATAATTATTTGTCCATAGGAGTGGAGAGGCACTTAAAGGAAAGGAGTGAGGCATAGGGAGCCCCCTTTCTCTCCTTAACACAGGAAATATTAGGAAAAACAATTCACTACTGAGGACCTGTTTCTAGTGAACACTCCTTCTCAGCACATGCTCCATTGACTTATATATAAAATTGTGAAGTGACCACCTTCCTACAGTGAACACATTTTCGTGGCTCGATAGGTGTTCACTGAAAACAGGATGATATCAGGATGTATCTCATACTTGAGTGGGTTTGGGGTAGATATCACCCGTGAATATATATCGTATCTGAGGAGCGGGCAGGATATATTGTATATGTCCCGCTCCAGGCCAAATGCGGGCAGATATAATATATCCATCCCGCTCCCGGGAAATTTTCAAAAGTTTAAAAAAGTTTAAATATCAAAAGTTTTAATTTTCTAATTTTAAAATTTAATTTTTAAGTTTAAATGTTACAATTTCATTATATTGAACAAAAAGAATATTACGTAATAAATATCTTGTCATTTGAAAAAGGTGGAAAAGGTTGAATCTACCCTAAACCCACTCAAGTATGAGATACACCAGTTATGCACGGTCGGTTTGGATACCTGGAATATTCCTTGGGATATAAAATACATCTTCCCTCGGTCCCTTCGGTCCCTCGGGAAGATATATTGTATATCCCTCGGGATATTCCCTGTATCCAAAACCTCCCAGTGCATAACCCCTATATAGCTATTGGGACAGTGACTTAGATGCAAGAATTTAAAGGAAGTTGTTATCTTAAGGCTGACACCATCTAAACCGAGAAACAGGAAAGCTCAAAATTTCCACTCCTTTTTTGATATGCGATTTTACAATGATGGAAGGTTTTATTTCTATAACGTAGTTTAGGCAAATGTGGGAGCAAATTTGGATAAGATGCTAGTGAACACCTGAGTATGGAAAAACACTTTTGCATCACTGAGTGAGATTACTAATTTATGATTCAAAAATCAAAATCTTATTGTCAATAAAAAGAACTTACAGGCCTGTCGATTCACCCATGGATTTATGAATGTCTTCATTTAGGACACCAAATATTTCTGCTATATCTTGTTCATCTTTCTCACTGTTTATGCAGTCAACTAACTTCCTCTCATATGCATCTTCATCCTTATCTTCAGGTACTGTTATCTTCACTCCCCTGGTCCTGGCTTTAGGATGCTGTAAATTAGTTCTCTGTATAACATCATCTTTGATCTGGAGTTTCTTACTCATTGAGTCTATATAGTTATTAAAATCATCATTTCTACTTCCTCCAGGTTTGGCATTTGAGGCCTTGGTTATGGATTTTGTTGTACTAGTTATATTTTTGGGCTGAAAGTCTTTAGTTGAAACTTCTTTCCATTTCACACTAGGAACTTCATTTTCTAAATCTTTTAATGTAGATTGTTTGCTAACAACAACATCTTTTGCAGATGCTTTACGCAAACTACCAAATGAATCAGATTCCTCTTTTCTGGTAAAAGCCTCATCAAAATCTTGTACAGATCTTTGTATTGCGGAAAAGTCTCGATTATGCAGCTTTTTAGCACTTAGCGTTTTATTTGTCTGAGATGATCGGCTCTTTGCAGTCTTTGTACCTCTATTCTGAGTTGGCTTTGCTTTCTGGCTAGCAAGAATGTTATGACTTGTACTAATACACTGGATGAGGTTGCTAACTGAAGGTCGTATATTATGGGAGCCAAGGCTATACAGCTGTAGTCCTGTGTGTAGTCGATACATTTCTTATGTCTGTCTTACTGATTTGTGTAACATCTACAACTAGTATCTGGAAAAAACATGGACAATGTATATAAACCTTATAACTTGTCATTTTGGTGCTATCTACATGAATTTTTGTAAATCTGCCATTTTAGGGTTTTACTTAGCCCTTTAAAGGACTCTTGATTTGTCTTATTGGATTTAGATATGACTCCAATAATGACGAATCGAGAGTCAATAGACTATGAGTATGATTTTTACTACCCCCATAAATGTGGGGTTATTTTGAGGCTTTTTGATATTTAGGACATTTGTTTCTCAAAATAACCCCACAAATTTAAGGCTTTGATACTTTGGGGATTTGCTAAAAAAATCAAATTCTCAGTAGAGAAGAAAAAAGGCAAGGAAACTGCCATTGTTGTCAGAACTTGAATCTTCAAATCATGTTAAGGCGACGCTATATTAAATAATAAGTACAAAAAATGACTGCCATATTTTTTTGATAAAGACACATGTTTTTAAAATCTGTTTACCTTGTATATGAATTGTGTATCTTGACTAATGAAACATGTCAAAGTTAACATCACACATAAACGCATTTTTCCAAACTATGAATTGGAGGTGCATGGATCCCCAAAGCTAGCATGAAGAGTGCGAAGTGAGGCTAATTTTTGAAAGTTTCAAGGAGTAGCCTTGCAACAGTCACACATTTGCAAGAGTCTAAAATTTCCACAAATCATCTTACCTTTCCCAGGAACAACGAAGGAGCATGAAAATGTGCACTTCTTGCATTGTTAGAGTATAATAAACCTCAAACCATTGTAAATTCCAAATATTTCATGTCCACATTTTGTTTGCCGGAACTACTTCTAGACTTCCTGATTAATCCTCATGCAAGTTTTGTGACTACACCAAGTGGCATGGATTATCACTTGTATGTTTTATCTATTACAGTGTAATTATCATGATAGATACATGATAGAGGCTTTATGAATGATAAACAATGGAAACATGAATGAAGATAACTCTGGACTAAAAAATAGTTCCAGGAAACAAAATGGTGGACATGAAATATTTAGAATTCACAATGGTTTGAGCTTTATTATACTCTAACAATGCAAGAAGTACACATTTTCGTTCTCCTTCGTTGTTCCTTGGTAAGGTAAGATGATTTGTGGAAATTTTAGACTCTTGCAAATGTGTGACTGTTGCAAGGCTACTGTCGGTTTCATGGTAAAAATAGCAAGAACTTAACTTCGACATATAAGTGTTACCTGATGAATGGGACCCTCACGTGCCTTCCCAATGGTAGCTAACGAACCCTAGTGTAACTACATCAGCTTATCTTTCCGTCCGATCAACAATAAGTACAGTTATACAAGAAATGTAAACTAAGTGAAAATATTCCCCAAAATTTTCCGAAAGGCATTCATTTCCGGAAGTTATGATACGTTATGGTGTCACTACGGTAAATTATTGAAAAAAATCACAAAATTCAAGTTCTAATGTGAGGTTCCATATCCATCCGCCAAAAGGTATGACTATATAGTCCATTTAAAAAGGTATGGTTTTGTTCTAAATAACGCCATAGTTGGCTTCTTGGGTACCTAGTATGCCACTATTTGGTATCAAAATAAAGAGGATGAGTTCTACTTTCATTTGAATTACGAAAATAGCGATGTAGGTCAAAATAGTTCCGGCGTGAGCATGTTTACTACGCGTATGCCCGTCATCTCAGAATTGAGGAAATGGTAGCAAACGCGAGTTACAATAAATGGACGCTGATATCTCAAAAAGTAACCTGACTCCCTATAATTTAATGTAGATCAATCGAAGTCCTATATGAACAGGTACATTTTGGTATATAACACCATGGGGGGTAAGCGTTTTATAGCTGATCACGAACGCCATTTGTGCAAAGTATTGTTCTGAATTTTCGAATTTGGTGCTGGATTACGGTACTCACACCTCTGGGGTACATATCGCCATTTTCGAATGAATTAGCCCATACAATGACTATATTTCTGCAATCCCCTATACATAACCTTCATCTTGACACTATATTAATGATGCCCCAGACAAGATAAGAAACTCAATCAAAATTTTCGCAGATGACACCAAACTCTATGGGGAATGTGTCAGTGCCGAACAGCGAGAGAGCCTTCACCAAGATATTGACACTCTAGTTAACTGGTCAAATGATTGGCAATTAAAGTTCAATCAAAAAAAGTGTAAAGTTTTACACTAAGGTGGTAAAAACGTAAACCAACAATACAACCTAGATGGTACCATGATAGAGTCAGTGACAGAACAGAAAGACCTAGGATTCACCATAGACAAAGAACTAAAATTCAAACAACACATCAGTCAAACTGCAAAAAAAGCAAATAGTAAATTAGGAATTATCAAGAGAAGTTTTAGTCACACCAAGGAGATCATAGTGCCACTCTACAAATCTATGATTAGACCTATATTACACTATGGCAACATTATATGGCACCCAAGACTCTTAGAAGAGGAGTGAAAATAGAACAGATACAGAGAAGAGCTACCAAATAATACCAGATTTGAAGAATAAGCCATATCAAACGAGGCTTAAAGAGCTAAAGCTCCATTCCCTCTACTACAGACGTAGACGAGGAGACAGGTTTATAAAATTATTAATGGAATTGACACTAAAGAGCATAGCTCATTTTTTACCAAGGCCACCACAACCACTAGAGGGCACTCCCTGAAAATGTACAAACACCACTGTAACACCACCCTTCGACAGGACACCTTTAGCAACTGAATTATAGAAGACTGGAACAGCCACTCAGAGAAGGTAGTGACCGCCCATAGTGTAGATCAGTTTAAAGGGAGACTAGACAAACTTTGGCTAAATTATCACTATGATATAGTTTAATATCTATTGCATACATTTAAATTAAGATCTGAGCAACTACAGGACTTTTCAAGACCAATCAGCTCAGAATTTGATGATAATGATGATGTGTCTCGTGGTGAAGAAAAGCTATCAAACATTGTCTGAAGAGCAGATTTATCTCCGTAATTCAACTTTTAGCATGGCGACCTTGACCTTGAAAAATATAGCCATTTTGGCGATAATAGGTGATTCAAAAGTAAAAATTATTGCCTTTTCGTAGTTTTACTTTGACCAAGCCTAGAAAAAAATTGAAGTGGTAAACCTCCCCCCATTTTTTAACATTTTTGTTGTCTAGAAGTGTTCCAGATGATATCAAAGTTTAAGAAAATTTGTATATCTAGAAATATTTTATAAATTAGTGCCATTATGGTTGGTTTGGGTGCTTTTTTGCCCTCATTTTTAGCCCATTTCTATGGTTGCCATGGCAACTATTAGGCTTGGGTAACTATGTCAACTTGATTTTTCAAGGACATCTGTGGGCCAAGTTTCATGGGAAACGGGCCTTATTTGATATGCTGGCAGTGAGGTTGATTGTGGCAAGTAGTAAAACGACAAAACAATGGTGGAGTCATACCCGATGCTTGGATGTTCACATTTCACGCATGTTCGGTAATATAACGTATCATAACTTCCGGAGATGACATGCCTTTAGGAAATCTTTTTGGAATATTTTCACTTCGTTTACATTTCTTGTATAACTGTACTTATTGTTGATTGGACGGAAAGATAAGCTGATGTAGTTACACTAGGGTTCGTTAGCTACCATTGGGAAGGCACGTGAGGGTCCCATTCATCAGGTGACACTTATATGTCAAGTTAAGTTCTTGCTATTTTTACCATGAAACCGACAGTACTCCTTGAAACTTTCAAAAATTAGCCTCACTTCGCACTCTTCATGCTAGCTTTGGGGATCCATGCACCTCCAATTCATAGTTTGGAAAAATGCGTTTATGTGTGATGTTAACTTTGACATGTTTCATTAGTCAAGATACACAATTCATATACAAGGTAAACAGATTTTAAAAACATGTGTCTTTATCAAAAAAATATGGCAGTCATTTTTTGTACTTTTTAATATAGCATCGCCTTAAAAAAACCGCAAAGAATCAAAGCCTTAAATTTGTGGGGTTATTTTGAGAAACAAATGTCCAAAATATCAAAAAAACTCAAAATAACCCCACATTTATGGGGGTCGATTTTTACTTGAATTGAAGTGAAGTTTGAAAAATTGAAAAATATTCTACTTGTCACTTCATCAGCTGATAGAAGACTCCAAATTTAACATTTAATACGTGAAAGAATTAATGAAAAGTCATACTTACGTAAATACATTTTAAACTATCACATTTATTCCTATAAATCGCATCAATGGTACATTTAGGAAATATTCTTCACGTTTTCATGGAGGCGGCCATGTTGAATTTACTTACACTAAAAATACGCACGACTAATAATGAACAATTAACGCGTCAGTTCTAATTTACTACAGAAATTGACTGGAAAGTGTAAACTAGGCCTACTGTTTTGCCGAGCCGAGATATTATCCTAGAACTAACTTTAAAATAGTAATACATTTCGGAAAATTGGAGAGAAAATTGACGTGGAAAAGGTGTTCAAGAGGTTTGCTCGCTGTACGAGAATAATATCCCCGGGGGAGTGGGGGGGGGGTACTCCCATATGCTGGCTGGCTATATGGAGTCGGGACGTGCCGCCGAAGTGGGCCATTTGGGCCACCGAAAAATCCCTAGATGTGGTCCCATTTTGAAGAAACACCTCTAGATATGGGTCCCATTTTGACGAAAAAATCCCTAGACTATCAGTATGGGTCTTCTTTTTGAAAATCCTAAACCTGGAAAGCGGGTCTTGTTTTTGAAAAATTACATCCAAAAGTGAGTCTGTTATTTTTCAAAGAGAAACCCTAGATGTGGGTCCATTTTTAGAGAAAAAATCCCTAGATGTGGGCGGATCCAGGGGCATGGGACATGTCCCCCCCCCTTGGGTGGGCTCAGAAATTTGGATAAAAATATGGGCCTAAAAATTTTGTAGGGCCTCTATCGTGGGCCTTTTGGGCATTAATTGGCCCTTTTGGGCCAAATTATCAAAAATGGGCCTAAATTTTACGCGGAGATTTTTTGCCAGATATTAAATCTTGCCCCTCGCCCTTGTTAGCTGCTGGATCCGCCAGTGCTCCCTGTATAAAAAGGTTGCCCATATAGCCCCCATCCCGGATGATATTACACAATGGGTGACATTGAACTAAACTTTACAAAATGGCAAAACTGAAGTTGATTAAACAATTGTCAAAATTCAAATCCGAGGAAAAATGACCCATTTGTGTATAATTTCATTAAGGAAAACTCAGAAAACATAATGCACACAGTAGACATAATAATCTTTCAACTGACACCATTTGTACACAGATACCTTATGTACTTTAAGGCGGGCATGTACGTAGGCATTCTGATACTCGCAGCATCTTTCTGTTTCACCTGAAAATCTCAGGGCTGAGAAGAAATGAGATATCATGGTTTATCCTGATGGTACGTAGGCTTAATGCTATTATTTATGTAATGAGGGCGAGACCGTCCAACTACATGTACAATAGGTGTCAGCTGTTTGGATATACCTTACTATGCACTTTGCATTTGTTAAAGTACATGATGGCTATGGGTCATGGAGTGAATAACTCATTGACACTGGCTTACTCACATTGCAAACGATGACAAAATGATGCCAAAGAGGACAAATATAACGAGAATGATGACAATAACGATGATGATGACATAACGGAACGTGACGACGAACAACAAAACTCATGAAGGGGTGATGACAAAAAAGGCAATATATACAATTATAACAATTAATGCATCTTTTGATTGGCATCCCATGTCTGCAATCTGCATGTACGGTTTTGGAAACCCAGCAATCTCGCGGTCCTAACTTCGACCGTTAATTTGAATTTTTGACCTACCGGATGTTTGAAAATCAAGGATTGCGACTCTCATACTAAACCGTTTTTCTTCAAACTTATACCGTTAAAAGCAGAACAAAATTGCCTTTCTGCCGGTGCATTACTTTATTGTAAAGAATCCCTCGTTCTAGCAGCGTTTTGGTCCCCAGCTGTTAGAAGGCCTTCTTACAGCTGAGGACCAAAATGTTAGGACCGCGTGGCAATATAATCATTAACTTGATACGCCCAAGATGACAGCCCTATTCAATATCCCTGCAAATGTAAGGTCGAAGTGTCTCATAGATTACACAAAAATAAGATTCTTATCTCAGACTTGCTACTTTTTTAAATTGGCATCAATCGGCACTAACAAATAAAGCATTTAAATGAATCACAGAAAAGGTCTCGCTTGTCTGGCTAAACAATCATCGATTTTGATAGGGAGAGAATGTACTGTACATGTGCCTTCAAAAGCGAATAATCGAAGTTATTTGCATACACACAACAACAACAACAGAACTCCTTATTTATTTTAATCAGCTTGTCTATTGATTTCCCACTCTGCTCCTCAGCAAGAACTGACTACAGAGTAGCTGTAAAATCTAAATACCAATTTAGAGTCCAACGGCATGATCAGCATGATTATCGACTACAGTTGAAGTAGCAGATTCGCTGAAGCTGCAAACTGAACGTTTCGATCAACATCAACAACCACATTTTCTACGACACCTATAACACCGTGCTGTGTCTCGAGGCAGTGTACTGTAGGGTGGTAGGGGTCCACGAGTTCATGGTGAACGAATAAAGACGTTGGACCACGTGTACCCAACTGGTTCTATTAAGTTGCTGCCCAGCACATGGTCAAATGAGGTAAGAAATTGTTGGCGTGATATAAAAATCTAGGATTATGAAACATTTTTCAAGAGACGTCAACATCTTCATCAACTTGAGTACTTCTGAGAAAATGAGGATTTCAGCAAGGGTATGTATTTTAACATGGGGATACAGATTGACTAAAAGCTGCATATCATCATGTACCTCATCATGAGGGTAGATAAAAAAATCTCAGAAGAACTTAAGTTTATCGAGTGAGTCTCAACAAGTAGATTTTTGAAAATCTTGGTTAGGTCTACTTATTAGGTAGTATGCACGTAAGACGGAGAGTCAGAGTGGGTGATACATAGGGATATGGTAATTTAAAAGAGAGCTTCATCTCTTAGCCTCTCGACTGTATGTTGGTAGTATCTTGTTTATTATGACAAAAGAAGTGGCAGTTTCTTTTGTGCCTTCTCGTTGTTTGACCCATGGGTCATTCATTAAGAATATATTTGAAATAAAACCGATGAGCCTGATTTTTAGGCGAATAATCGATTTTCGATCAAGTGAACTTATGAAAACATAATATTCCGCTATCCTGATAACGAGTTTCGATTTTGATTGATCTGGCCTTTTGGATAAACTGTTAGATTTGTGGATTGCCTCATATCCCCCGAGTGCAGATGAAGTTCCCTTTTGATAACCGAAATCATGCTAAATTAGAAATTGTAAGCTCTGCCATACGTTTAAGACAGATGGTGGCATATATTTCATCTGGTTTAAAATAATTGGAATAATGATAATTGAATTATAGTTTCAAATATTCATCATGAATAAGGGATTTAATAACCAGCCTCAGTTCTGACATTTATTGGTATTGATTGAATGAAAATGTAAATGTCTTTTGCTAACTGATGTTTATTTGGAATTAGAAAATGAGAAAATTTGGAATTAGAAAAGTTGATTGTTTCTGTGGAAAAGCGTTTAACATATCGCCATTATTTTTGAAAGTTGGAGTTGTAGCAGTCGCAGCTAGTATGGCGATCGACTAGGTCTTCGCTTCGTATGCTATGCTTTTTTAGTAGGGCCACGTTAAAGGGCCAGTGAACAATTATAAAGGGATAGCTAAATCCTTGAACATCGATTTTCTCCTTCCCAAGAGTTAAGGATGTTATTTAGTTGTAATATCACGTACCTGCGTCAAAAACAAACTGTTAATAAAAAGGCTCCATATTTTATTCACTATAGAATAAAAATTAAATTTTGCTGGATCCCTGCGTTTGGAAGATGATATTCAAATGAACTGATCCAAATGACGCGAGGAAGCAAACAAACAAAAACAACAAACAAACAAACAAACAAACAATGATTGGCAGGAAAAATATTCTGTCCAGCCATGGGTTTGAACGCTGATGGTTCAGCTTTGAATAATTGAGGAAAGTAATTTTTATGTCAAAAGTAAGTTATTGGATAAGGCCATGGATGCAATCATACCAGAACCATTGCTGGCAGAATCTCGATGGTGAACCGCTGTTTAATAGATGAAGTGATGATACCGTGTCAAAATCGATACTTAATCACAACTTCATATTTTCACAATTTCGATATTTTCATAAGATCCGCCTTAATCATCTCAACGAAGGCATTTAGATTCGATTTCGATTTCGGAATATATGCCACCTATCGTAAAAGTGCGCAAAACCAGCTTCTGATAGACCGAAACGTTTCAGTGTTTAATTAGATATCACAATAACCTTAGAGATCGGGATATATACATTTTTCTACCGTCTCAGAAAATGCTGTGGATTGTTATACAAATGAGAGGGATATGTGAAAAAACGCCAAATTAGAGCATTTTTATCAGAATATATGGATCGCCCCTTGTATAATGATACGGTTTTACAAGACGAAGAGATGTGTGAAAATAATGTAATCAGTGAAAGAAGAACTCTGCAAATGAAGCTGGGGACCCATTTATAATCCACAAATTATGAGATTTTAAATATGGACGACATGCACTTCAGATTAGACAGAACCCCGGAGGATCATAAATAATTTATTCTTAACGCCACGGTCCCAAGCCCGTGTGTCTGGGAAGAATAACAATCTAAAATATGGTGTTTCAAATATGCGTTTTTATAAACATTATGCTGATAATACAAGCTGAGTGACTCAATTCAAATTTTTGATACATTCTCTATTCCATCCCTTCCCCCGTCATACCAACAATATCAGATCAATTCCATACAGTTAAGGCCATTCAGATTTTTTTTCAAGAGCGTAGTGAAAACTAGTTTGGTATTTTAGACCTAACGAAAAACTACGTTTCTTGATGGACACTGAAATACCGACCCGGCCCCTTAGTCAAATACGTCCAAACACGTTACGATCGTTTCATAACTCATCCCCCTCTTTCCCAGGCAGTTCACTACACCCTCATCTCGAACGTCCTGGACTGGATGGTGTGCTACAAAGTACAGGGTGGACCAAAAATGGGTACAAAATATAAAATTGATCTCAACCCCATATGATTTCATGGATTCATTTGTAACTTGGCACAAGTAAAGTTCAGTCAGTTATCTTTCAGTTTCCTATATTATTAGCATTGCCAACACTTATTTAATAGTCATTTGAGTTTTTTTTCAATTGGACCCCCTTCTCCTGGACAACGAGACTAAACCCCACTCGCCATTGTTCCATTGCTTTATTCAATGTCTATTGACTGAGAGCATTACATTCCATTTCAAGGCAACCCCAAGCACAGTAGTCAGCTGGGGTGGTATTCGGGCTGTTTTGGGGCACATATCAACGTTTTGGGGATGGAGCAGCCGTGGCTTGCTAACCTCCTTCTTGCTAACCTCCTTCATTTTGACTGTTTCTAGGAGTGGATACAGTAAACATTCTCTCATCAGAAAACCATAGTTTGTTTATATCTGTAGTATTTAATAAATGGGCTGATCATAAAATAGTAGGTTAATCCGGTAGCCGCTAGTCGCTAGTTGCATTCGCGAATACAAGCTAAGCCTGTAATGATAGAAAAATGAATATAAGGAGATTATCTGTATATACTTATTGGTTGTTGTACACGGTATTAGAGAAAGTGAAAACACAGCTGACGATAATTCATTGCCCCGATAACCTATAAATTGTTGGCAATATTACATGCTTAAGTATCATAAATTGTTGTAATGGCATTAGATCTTGCTTAGATTAAAATATACTTATCTAGTTAAGTCAAAAATGTATCCGAAGTGTAAGTTCCATTATTTGTTACCATGGTAACGGACTTTGATTAAAATCTAAGCACTTCTATAATATGTGTATTCCCATTCACTTTTTGCGTTTCAACTCAGTCTAATCACTACATCTCATGTTATTGGAGCATGTAACAAAAATGGTTACATTACTTAATGTCGACGTCAAACGCTATAATAATACATCACTTTTTCTTGACACAAAATTGTATGTCATCAAAGACTATTAGAAATGATGAACCAAAATATAGCCATATGAGAATAAAAATGTCCCAACTCACATTTTTGTGAAACTGAGAAATCAATTTTTTAAAGTTTAGGCATCAATAACTTCAATACTATCTATGTCATTCGTGAAATCTTTACATCCTTTTTACCAACATTTTGTGTACATACATTAAAGAATTCATGAATTTTAAGATTTTCTAAGCCAATTTTTGAGCATATTAAAAATGGAGATAAGACAATTCAATTCCGAGTTTTTCGTATCATCGAAAGATTAAAGCTGAGCTATGTCCATTTTGTAAATTTCTCTATATTCGTTTTTTTCAAAAATAAATTCAAATCTCAGTTTAAAATTGTTTTGGCATTTGGAGCATGTTTTGTATAATGACCATAAAATCGTCACCATTAAAAAAGACGGTGGAACTTAGTAGTATAGCTAGAAAGAACACTGAACAAGGTTCAACTGTGCCAAATATGACTTAAAACCCATACTGGATGACCGATTTGTTTGGGTTACCTCTTTTGGCTCAAACTGTACTATTTCAATTATATTATATATAGTAAAAATTAATTATGGGCAGTAATGCACAGAGCAATACGCAAACGCAATTCTCATAACATTGATTGTCTAACGAGGTTGAAAAGAATGTAAATTATTGTTTTGCTGTGAAAATTTAAATTAAATTAAATTGAAATTGAATTTTTCTTTGAAACAGAGCTTGTTGAATACTCTTTATAGCTCAATGACAGCGACCATAGAATACACACATTATTTGGCCCATAACTTTGATAATAATTTGAGGCGGTTGTAAGTCATCGTCATTGTGATCCTCATACCATTCTTGCCTTGCTCTAGAAAGGTACTGGTAGAAGTGTATGTTTTTTACGATGGTTCCTTTCATCAGATGGTCTCCAAGGTAAATTGTTATAGTATCAAAGCATCTAGCGTTGTAAGATAGAACTATGTAGTGAGTGTTTAAGTCTCAAAGTCTCGATACACATTTTAAATGTTCACATCAGCTGTACGAAAACAATTCATATCAGCAGATGCAATATTTAATAGCAGAATAAATCTTAAAGACCCCACATAAAGTTTATACCACTTTGGCTTACCCAATCTTATCAAAATGTGATGCTAGTATGTAGATTTTTTAAATTTCAAATAGTTGTTTTTGAAGGAATTTTTGTTTAAGAGAAAAATTTATTTAAAAATTTAGTTCTCATTTAAGACAAATGGTAAAGTGATATTTAAATCATAATATATTCTTCTTTTCAACCTCGTTTAGATAATCAATTGTATGAGAATTGCGTTTTTTCTATCAATTATGACATAACATCAATGTAACATAAGCATCTAATTATGACCTCATAATATGACAATCAACATTCGTTTATTTTGAAGGTTTAACATAGAAAATTTATTGACAAAGAAAAAATTGAACTCTCTTCAAAAAAATGTTTGCAACCTAAATGATATAACGATGATGTCACATATGGCGCAGATTTTTTTAAAAAGCTAAAACATTGAAGTGGCTCATTAGATATAACATTTCATTACTGAATAACGCAGATGCGAGTAGGTAGTTATCAATTTTTCCACCAGGTGGCTCGTTCGGGTCAGATAGCATGGCGGGTATGGTAGAAAGTTCCCTTTTACCATGAATTACATCTGTTTAAGTGGTTCAATTTTTATATAACCCTATGTATCTAATAGTTAGGCTATGCAAATCAAAATATGTCCAGTAAAAGAAAATATTATCTGTCCATTACGAGAAAAGATATTTCACTCTTTGTGATTTTGTAACATGGGGCTGTCTATGGGGAATCAACCCGAACTAGAAGTCACATTTTCAAAAAATTGAATTTTCAAAGTTGAGAAACAATTTTCGAAACCATATTTCTAGATGTACTTTTACATGTAGATATCAAATATGACAACACTTTGACTGAATTTTGAATATTTGATGATGTAAATCAAGATTATTTCTACTCGCATCTCGCCTATTAGTATGTCAGTGTCTTTTGTTGAATCTTCGCAATGTTGTTAAAACACTATGTATTTCTTGAGAAATACAAAGCTGACAACTTTTTTTACTCATTTTTTCAAAAATCTCTAAAATGTCTTGAAAAATAGTAAATGAATGATGAAACATATTTTCAAACTTTACACGGGGCCTTTAAATATATTGTGTTTGATGACGATGAATATCATCGTCTACTGCACATATTGCTGATTACTGATATAGGTCTATAGGATTCCTGTATGCGTTGAGAAATCCTATAGTCGTCATTCTAAATGAACAGTGGTAACACAGCCTGTCGGTGCTATGAAAAGAATGTTCGCGAACCATTTTCAGGCTTTAGGTTCACCCAAGTCCTTGAAATGACAAAGATGCCCGTTTTAAGGTTTATGGATTTTCAAAATTTAACACGAACAAGAGTCTATCAGTCATATACGTGTTATTTTCACCCATTATGGTATTCTTGACAGAACAGTTGATACCGATAGACCAGGTATGGTATTACGTGTGACGCCATATTTTATTCACATATTCACCCCTGACCATGCGCAAGGATTCACTTGTCTTAGATTGAAATGTACTCCGTTATGAAGCTTCGGTAAATCTTTAAAAAAGCGTCAACCTAAGAAAACATGACCATCCAGATAATAAACTATTGCATTATATACATTATACAATCATATATTGTTCATTGATCTTGAAATTGGTTAACTGATCTGGATAAATTCTCATTATTGGCAGTCTGTTACTGATTAGTATGGAATGGCGCAGACACTAACTCCACAGAAGTCTGTGGAAACACCCCACAAGAGACCGCAATTTTACTTTATCATGTAAATTGTTGCCAGTATTGGGAACATTTATTGGATTTTATGAGATTAACGATCTAGCCTATTATCTCGATAGCTGGTCGAAGATAATGCAATGCATGATGTGAACTATTAGTCACAAGTTCTTAGTGTTAGAAAGCACGTATTCATGCTACTGAACCAATATCATACCAACATTTGCGATGCGTGTCAGATTATACATTGTTCCGTTGTCCCTTTCTATCCAAAGGTTTCCATGCACATTGTAAGAGCCGTACAAATAAAGCTTAGCTAGATCATTTAACTCGCACAATTCTGATCCCATTAACCAGAAATTCTGACTAATGATAAGAAAGTAATAAAATAATACGTAGCTTTTATCTATAATGTCTATCGACAGGTCAAATAAAGGACATGAAGGTTAATGATAATCCGAGGACAAACTTTTTTATCTGAAGAAGGAAGTGTAGTAGATAACCATGTCGTTACACTACCCCCAATTAAAAAAATCGTCCTGTATATTACTAGCATAAAATAATATCTTAAAGCATCAACATCAATATTTTAAACTAGACGCCATTGGCAGGTACAATTATAACATTACTTGTTTGTTTTAATACGTGTCTGGCAATAGAAAAAGATCAATACACATTTGAAGATGATGCACAACTCTTGCAGCATTTGTGTTTCGAATCAGTTTATCTGGTTTAGCATATGCAAATGATATCATTAGGAGTTAACTTTGTGAGACATCAATTGCGTTTCTCTCATTTGCTACCACATCTGTCTCGGCAATCAAGCAGGCATTGGCGCCTAATAATCATATATAGGGAATCCATCACATGACACGACTACAAAAGGACTCTAAGAGTTTCTTCACATACAAATTAGCTCATCATATTCTATCAAGTTTTAGCCATTTCCTGTTTTCAATAAACGATCGCAATTCTAGGGATAGCAATAAACGTGTGTAATATGCTCGGCTAATTCACAACTATTATACGTGTGATTTAATTTGTGTTTCAGCATTCGGATGGATATATCTTTGATGAAATAGACACAGAAGCAGAACAAGTCAATATTGATCCAGGGAAGTAGTTTAAAACAACACTCCATCGAGGACTCACGACATCAGACACAAATCACAATGTTTCTTCCACCTTCAAATATCCACTATATACAGACTGCTGGCAAAAACAATCTTATGGACCAGGCCATGAATCAGGAGATTCTTGAAATTCATTCCAAGAAAATATTAGAAAATGGAGATTTTCCAAAAATACAAGTAGTAGAGAAAGGAGGACACTGGTTTGCTTTAAACAATAGTCAACTGGAGTTATGTAGGAAACTAGAAAAGGAAGGCAAATGCTCGAAAGTTAAGATTGACATTCTTCCACTGAATCAGATACCCATTGATATTGCCAAAATGATGATAGTGACAGATGATATTGAACCCCAATATGGTAAGTAATAACTTTAAACTTCGGATTTGCACCAAATTGTACCTTGCAGGCTGTGTGGATGTCTCTTAGACTGTTCAATAATTTATCACAATGATTATATCGCATGACATCACCCCTAACAATCCAGACTTGATATATAAATGATTGAATATCCATTTTATTACCCAGACGTTTAAGTCAATGAAGGAACATAAAACATTACATCGCCCGTAACAATCCAGGCTAGATATCTCTATGTAGATGAATCTTAACATTGCATACTATTCAGGTTTATAACAAATACATTTATTGACTTGAAGTATTAAATATATCCAATATATCGCTCTGTGAAAATTCTTCAAGTATTTGACATGTAAAATTATATACAACTTATTATTTTATTTGTCTACCTATGCGTACACTCAAAGCAGTTTGATCAGAAATACGTCGCTGTTCTTGTACCTGAAAAATATCAGCTAGCAGTATTACAATTATCTTCTGAGTATACATGTTGATAGTGATTCTATTTCACGGCGTTGTTAAAAGTATAGTATTTTACAGCCTTTTAGTTGGTCTAAAATTATGTCTAATAGATACCTACAATTTTACCCTTTGCATTCGTTCGACTTCACTTCTTAAAAGAGAGCTCCGTCTTCAACTAGACTCTGCGCGCAGGGTACTACAATTTGTCATCAACTTAATGCCAGCGATTTAGACAAATCGAGAATGACTGTGCAATGACTCACACTCTGATTAAGTTATTGTACTTGGGCTACTGAATTTTATTCGAAAGGCTGAATCAAAGAATCTTTTTTAAAATAGGGATGCATGTAAATGGGACCTTCTTTTGGAGCAAGACAAACGAATCACATTTTATTTCTGTTTCATTTTAATAACAACAGCCGAAAACATCCTCCTACTCTCTCTCCCCCTCTCTATCTCTGATGAAAGTAGATATAATGAGCTTAATGTAAAAAAACGTTGTACATGGGGCCTAATTAGCTTTAACTCTAAATGCATTTGTTGGTGATTCAGTGAGGTGAAGTTAGGTCAAAATAGAACATAAAAGGTCTAGATGTCTCTGAAGAGTCTAATGTAAAGTATACTCATCTTTTAGTTTAAGAAGCAAGGTTTTGTTGAAGCAACTTAGAAATCGCATTAGATATTCTTCTAGCAAAGCTTTGAGTGAACCATTTACATCTTTTTACGATAAAGGTATTAAGAATACCCATTTATTTCCGTGTTGCTAGGCAAAAAACAAGCCCAGCGTAATCTGAGATACACGACAATACTTAGTTTTACGACGTTTCCTTCGAACGTTGGCCAAAACCCGTTTGGAAATCAAAAGTGAAAGGCTTATGTTACTCGGGAATTTACTGTAAATCCCTATGACGATGCTATTGTTCTGGGAACGGTCAATGTTTATATTGCCAACAAAACCTATTCTAAAGGCGGTAATCAATGATTTAGAGGCTACTTTTATTGCAGGAAAAACAGGCTTATGGTGATGTTATATTTTATGCTGATTACAGCTTTGTGTGGAAGGTCATTAATTTCCTCATGGGCAACTCCTAATACTTGGCCACCTCTGGGAAACTCTTCGTCATTGGAAATCGCGTTAAATGTTCAAATAGTTACGGTCGGAGATTGCAATACTAGTATTGTTTTATAAAGATAGATCAAGGAACTCTGTATCAGAGACACGAGGTACGAGGCTAGTCTGCACAGGATTTATTGTGGTTCAAGCCAAACATTTGGTTTCCTCGCTAATCAATTTACATTACATTTACATATCGTAATACATTTATGCAGTAGAATACATTGCTTGTGAAATATTTAATACTAAAATCAAAAACCCCATTAGTTGACAAAGAAGCGGAACAACCAGCATATATTTCCATCTGATTCTGGTTTACAAATACAGAATTTCGTGCTCATTCATCATGTATTCTCTCCTGGGAGCACCCTCATCTTTTTGTGGCGTATCCTAGGTTGTCTATGCCTATTAAGGTAAACACGGGTGCATATCCTCCCGGCAGAATAATCACGAATATCATTAACTAGATTTGACTTAGACAAATAGTCACATTTATTCTAGCTGATTTCGTTATAGTCTAAGATAGTTCGTCTCTAATCATATTTATTAGAAAGCTATTTTGAGTTAGTATTGTAGAAAACATTCTGGACAGACGATACGCATGATTTGCCATACAATAGAGCTATATTTGTCACAACACGTCTAACTGTAACTGATGACAATCTTAATACTAAAACAGCTCAAATAGACCGAATCTAGTGTTTTAGTCAGTGTAACGCCATGTTACATACATGTTGTATATACCAGTAGATAAATGAAACGTATCTAAAACACGCTAAATCATTTGTGGTTGTGGTATAGTATGTTATCAGTGTTATTATATGCACTTAATGTAATATCAGCATTTCTAGTCAATCTCACTTATTACAAAAGGGCTCTATTGATGTTGAAGCTATTCGGAATCTGAAAGTGAGCTTTACAGGGAAAGTGAAAGTCAGATTTCAAGGGTCATATCATAAGCTCAGCAGATATTATTGATATATCAATAGTTTCAAAGCTAAACACTGAAGTCTTTAGACAATAGCAACATTAAGTCATGTCATCTTAACACAAAAAAGCATTTTAACCAAAATGATTTCAAGATGCTTTTATTTTTCATTTACAGCGGATCACAGTTAAAATAGTATCAAAAAGATTAACCCTTTCAGGAGCGAATCTGGGAACCAACAAGGGAGGGGGGGGGGGGGGGGCAAATTCCAATCCTGAGAAAAAATCCAGCCCATTTTCTTGATAATTTGGACCGAAATTTAAAAATAAGGCCTTAAAAGGGATCTTAAAAAGTTTTGTGACTAAAGATCTGCCAGTACCTTCTTATACTAAGGGGGTAAGAGGTGTAATTAATTTATGACCCTATTCTCCATTGATTTATATGATGACCTCTTTCCCTTATTATCTTATACACAATCTGGGCCAGAATGGGCCTTTAAAAGGGGGACCATAATCCCTGGGGGACCATAATTTCTTTCACACCGGTACACAATTCCGCGAGCTTTGCCAGATGTTGTTGTGGTTGGCAAAATGAAGTACCTACGTGAACGGCCTTAATGTGACCACGCTCTACATAACTCCGCCTACTCCCAGTTTTTCTGTTTTGCTGTTTACACTTCTAACGTGAATTTTGGGGTTTTGTCCATGTTTTAGAACTTTCATACTGCCCAAGGAGTGGGTATCGACATGGATGTACTTTATCCGCTAAAAGCCTACAGTCTCCAAGGAATACTATAGGTCCTCCAGGCCCAATATTTGGACCAAATGTTTGTGCATCATTCATATGGCCGGAGAAGCCACTATGGGCCATTGTTAATATATCCTACTACAACTTGGGTACGCAAAAAGTGTGTGGGGTTCATTTTCTACCCTGTTAATTTCATGGGATGTTCCATCAATCGAGCCAAGGGGGAATGGTAGATCATTCCAATTATTTCTCATATTGTTCCATTCTCCAAGATATTGCCAGTGTACACTGGGTGCATATAGTTCCCATTGTTTCGGCCAAAATCATTTATGAAACACTTGCAATGTCAACATCGAGCATCAGGGAAAGTAAAGGCTAGTAAGGGTAAGATCTCAACCAGATCAATGTGAGGAGAAGACTATTGTGAGGTGACAGGCAATAAATAGATATAAAAAAGTCATATGACAAGAAAATGCCTAAAATATTACATCAATTAGGAACTGAATTATCTTCCCCTGAGAGCGACTGGAGGATAATATATGAAAAAAGCAATATTTTTCTCAATATGCTGTACAAACAGATACAATTCTGAAAAATCACCTTCCCTGTAAAGCTCAATTTAAGATTCCAAATAGCTTCAATATCCCTATTAGTGTCAAATACATACATGAATTTCAGTAATATCAATGATTTGACGAAAACATAACGAATGACCTCGCTTGAATAATGGCTCAATCTCCATCATATTTTCTCATCTTCATTTTATTTTCATGTCGCATTTGACAACATGTTACATTTATCATAGTTTCATCGTTGGATTTGTCTTGTAATTGCAATTTCTCACCAAAGGATTGGACTTAGGCATATCCATAAACTAACTGTAGACCATTATCTCGCAGTATTTTATGTCCAGTCATGCAGAGTTAAGTTCAATGTCGCCCAAACGTATATTGTCTGAAGCTGTTCAAACTTGTATGGGCATGTTCATGTTTTAAGTTGCTTATATGTTTGGAATTTCAAAACTTTCTATCTCGCATTGGCAGTCCATTTTGATTTATCAGTTTCTCTTTCTATCAAAAGCTTGTGAGAGAGTGACAGTAAAGACTGTGGATCGGCCATATTGGATTTCGTGGCGGCCATATTGGATTTTTGCATTTTGCTAAAATTCCTCAAGGGTGAGACCTCTACGCCCACCCAGATATCACTACAGGTACCCTTACAATGCATAATCTGTAGAGAAAAAACTTAATCAGACAAAACAAGGTAAGCCCACGGCGCTGCCGGACTATAATGTTATTTATGGAAGTAGATCTACGACATGTCTAGAGTTTTATGGAAACTCTGAATTATGATGCCATATATTAAAATGGTATTGATTGATTTTAAGTTGCTTCTTTATAATACAATTTAGCAAACCGCTATAAGAATATTATATACTTGTAAACTATATTCTTACCACCCTTTTCATGTTAGTTTCCTTTATAATAGGTGATTAGGTAATTATGTGTTTCAAATGCATCCCTCGGGAATCCCTGCATGCAAGAATACCATAGCAAACGAGAACTGACGAAGCTTGAAAGTGTATTTACCCATCTGCAGCCCCTGAGGACATCATGTTCACACTACACGAAGATAGGCAACATCATTGTGGGATCCACGAGGATTAATCAGAATAAGGCGATATAATATGAAAACAACTCTCAAGCCTTGGGTGGGGGGGGGGGTGTATAGAGATATTGTATATCGTAT